TTTTTTTCTTTTGAGTTGCTTTTTCTCCCCAAATCCTCCCAGTACATAGTTGTATATTTTAGTTGTGGGTTCTTCTAGTTGTGGCATGTGGGATGCCGCCTCAGCATGGCCTTATGAGTGGTGCCATGGCCGTGCCCAGGATCCAAACCGGTGAAACCCTGGGCCACCGAAGCAGAGCGCACCAACTTAACCACTTGGCCACGGGGCCAGCCCCTACTTTTCCTTTTTGTGTGTTGTCCTTGTGTAGTTTTGGTATCAGGATAATGATGGCCTTGAATGAGTTAGGAAGTGTCCCATCCTCTTCAATATTTTGGAAGAGTTTGAGAAAGATAGGTATTAAGTCTTCTTTGAATGGTTGGTAGTATTCACTGGGGAACCCCTCTGGTACTGGACTTTTGTATTTTGGAAGGTTTTTGATTGCTGTTTTGATCTCCTTCCTAGTGATTGGTCAATTCAGATTGTCTGTTTCTTCCTGATTGAGTTTTGGAAAGTATATGGGTCTAAGCATTTATCCATTTCTTCTAGATTATTCAATTTGTTGGCGTATAACTTTTCATAGTATCCTCTTATAATCCTTTGTATTTCTGTGGTGTCCATTGTAATTTCTCCTCTCTAATTTCTGATTTTATTTGTTTGAGTCTTCTCTTTTTTTCTTGGTGAGTCCTGCTAAAGGTTTGTCAATTTTGTTTATCTTTTCAAAGATCCAGCTCTTAGTTTCATTGATTTTTTTTCTGTTGTTTTTTTAGGCTCTGTTTCATTTATTTCCACTCTGATTTTCATTATTTCCTCACTTCTACTCATTTGGGGCTTCATTTCTTCTTTTTCTGGTTCCTTTAGGTGTGTTGTCAGATAGTTTATTTGAGATTTTTCTTGCTTCCTCAAGTAGGCTTGTATTACTAAAAACCTCCCTGTTAGTACCACTTTTGCTGTATTCCTTAAATTTTGGCATGTTATATTTTTCATTTTCGCTTGTCTTCAGATAATTTTTTATTTCTCCTTTGATTTCTTCATTGACCCAGTAGTTGTTCAGTAGTGTTTTGTTTAATTGCCACATATTTGTGGCTTCTCCAGTTTTCTTCTTGTAGTTGATTTCTAGTTTCATGTTATTGTAGTCAGAAAAGATGCTTGGTATTATTTCAGTTTTCTTGAATTTATTGAGACTTCTTTTGTGGCCTAATATGTCATCTGTTCTGGTGAATGTTCCATGTGCATTCGAAAAGAATGTGTATTCTGCAATTTTCCGATGGAATGTTCTGTATATATTTACTAAGTCAATCTGGACTAATGAGTCATTTAATGACAGTATTTCCTTGTTGATCTTTTGTTTGAATGATCTGTCCATTTATGTAAGTGGAGTGTTAACGTCTTCTACTAGTATTGTGTTACTGTCGATTTCTCCTTTTATATCTGTTAATAATTGCTTTATGTATTTAGGTGCTCCTGTGTTGGGCACATAGATATTTACAAATGTTATGTCTTCTTGTTGAATTGTTCCGTTTATCATTATGTAATGCCCTTGTCTCTTGTTACAGTTTTTGTTTTAAAGTCTATTTTGTCTGATACAAGAATTGCTACCGCAGCTTTCTTTTAGTTTCTGTTTGTATGGAGTATCTTTTTCCATCCTTTCATTTTCAATTTTTGAGTGTCTTTAGGTATGAAGTGTGTCTCTTGTATGCAGCATATATATAGGTCTTGTTTTTTTATCCGTTCAGCCACCCTGTGTCTTTTGATTGGAGCATTTAGTCCATTTACTTTTAAGGTAGCTATAGATAAGTATGTACTTATTACCATTTTGTTACTTTTTTCTGCATGTTTTTGTACGTCTTCTTGTTCCTTTCTTCTTCTCTTGCTTTCTTCCCTTGTGATTTGATGGCTTTCTTTAGTTATGTTTGAGTTCCTTTCTCTTTATTTTTTGTGTGTTTATTATAAGTTTTTGGTTGGTGATTGCCATGAGGTTCACATATAGTAATCTATGTAAATAGTAATCCATATTAAGTTGATGGTCTTTTTAAGTTTGACCTCTTACTAGAAGCCCTACACTTTTACCTCCCCACTATGTTTTTGGTATCATATTTTACCTCTTCTATTTTTGTGTATCCCTTAACCTCTTATCATGTAAATAGAGAATTTTAGTAATTTTGTTTTTTAACCTTCATATTAGCTTTATAGGTGGTTTATCCACTACTTTTACTGTATATTTGCCTTTACTAGTGATACTGTTTTTGATAATTTTCTTATTCTTGTTTGTGGTCTTGTCTTTTCCACTTACATAAGTCCTTTTAACATTTCTTGTGAGGCTGGTTTAGTGGTGATAAACTCCTTTAGTCTTTTGTTTTTCTGGATAACTTTTTCTCTCTCCTTCCATTCTGAGTGATCACCTTGCCAGGTAGAGTATTCTTAGCTGTAGGTTTTTTCCTTTCAGTGCTTTGAATATATTCTGCCACTCCCTTCTAGACTGTAAAATTTCTGCCGAGAAATCAGCCAATAGCCTTAGAAGGTTTCCTTTGTATGTAACTTGTTGCCCTTCTCTTGCAGCTTTTAGAATTATCTCTTTCTTTTTAATTCTTGACATTTTAATTATAATGTAGCTTGGTGTGGACCTCTTTGGGTTCATCTTTTTTCATACTCTCTGTGCTGCTTGTACCTGGATATTTGTTTTCTTCCCCAGTTTAGGTAAGTTTTCAGCTATTATTTCTTCAGATAAATTCTCTGCCCCTTTGTGTCTGTCTTCTCTTTCTGGGATACCTATAATGTGGATGTTAGTATGCTTGATGTTCTCCCAGAGGTCCCTTAGGTTATCCTCATTCTTTTTAATTCTTTTTTCTTTTCAGCTTGGGTGATTTCCTCTACTCTTTCATCCAGATTCTGATCCATTCTTCTGTGTCATCTACTCTGCTGTTGGTTACCTCCAGTGAACTTTTCATTTCCAGTATTGTATTCTTCTGCTCTGATTTGTTCTTTTTTATATTTTCCAATTCTTTGTTGAAGTTCTCACTGTGTTCATCTATTCTTCTCCCAAGATCAGTGAGCACCCTTATGACTATTAGTTTGTACTCTTTATCAGGTAGATTGTTTATCTCTTTTTCATTTAGTTCTTTTTCTGAGCATTTGTCCTATTCCTTTTTTGGAACGTATTCCTTTGTCTCCTCATTTTGCCTACTTCTCTGTGCTTATTTCTATATATTAGGTAGATCAGCTATATCTCCCAATCTTGGAAATGTGGCCTTACGTAAGAGATGTCTTATGGGACCTAGCAACATGCTTCCCTACATCACCCGTGCCACGTGTTCCAGGAGTGTCTCTTGTGTGGACTGCATGTGCCCTTCTGTTGTGGCGGGCTTGCTATTGCTATGTGTGCATGGGTAGGTCAGGCTGGCCCCAGGCTGACGGATTGTAAGTCTAAGCCACATGCAGCAGCTACGATCACTTTATTGGGTGGGGTAAGCCCCAGAATGGCTGCCTGTGAGGTCTAATAACACACAACTACTGCTGTTTTGCTGTGAAGTGAGTCAGGCCCCTAGTGTGGCTGGTTGCTAGGCTCAGGGGCTCACAGTTGCTCCAGGCCTCTGGTGTGGCTCACTGAGGCTGTTGTCAGCTCTCTTTTGGGCAGGGCAGGCCTCTGGCCAGATATGGCTATGCTGCGCTGCAGTACACAGCTGCCTCAGGAGTACTGATGGGTAGAGCTGACCCCAGGCACAGCAGTGCAGGATTGGTTCAGGCACTGGAAGGTGGGGCAGGGTCCATGTGGCTGTTGATGATGGTTTGTGGCACAAGTCAGCTGTGGGCCCACACACCCTGCTGCAGAGGTCCCACAAGCCCTGCCTATGTGGGCCCACAAGTTTGCTTTCCTCTTGCCCCCTCTACCTTCCCCTATCTTTTTCCCTTTGATCCTTAGTCCTGCTAGTAGAAGACTCGTATGTAAAAGCTCATTCAAAACTGTTTCTTGGCAGAAAAGAAACTGTTCATTTAAGTCTTAGACCAAAACAAGTTAGAGTAAGTGTAGTAGACCAATAAGCTTCCTGTTTTTGTCTTCTTGCCCTCCCTAGCCTGGCTGGAGGATAAGATTTGAGAAGGACATTCTGTCTTTTGTGTTATTCTGGTGACTATCCTTAAGCAGTCCTTATTTTATTGATTCCTTCTGAGGCACACAGCACTGGACAGTCTTCCAACCCAGGTTTTAACCACATTTCTGTCACTAAACATGTGATTTTGGCCAAGTCACTTTATCTTTCTGGGTTTCAGGTTCATTGTCTGTAAAAGCAAAAGAAAATATTGGACTTGGTGTCTAAAACCCTCTGCCTATGAGTCAAGTGTCGCTTTCCAGCCAGTGCATATTGACTCCAACCTTACTGTAATAGACTGGGGCTTTGCTGGGGAGGGGGTGAGGGCCATATTTAAAAATAATGCCCCATCTGGAAGAGACATACTTTGTCATCAGCCTGTCTTATTCTTCATTAAAGAAAAATCAAACAAACAAAAACTTGTCATTTCTAGTAAAATAGACATTTGCATTCGTGTTTAGAGGGGAAAAAAGCCATCTCTCTTAGCTAACAAATGTTTTTTCAAAGTATAGCCACTTAAATTAGTGCAGGATGGATTAACATGTGGCCATTATATTTACATTATCAAAAAGTATGTATATATGTATCAGCTCTAAGTTGTTTTTCTCTTTTGGATTTTTAAGATAGAGTAATAACAACAGCTTGTTACAGAGCACTTTTAATAAGTTTATTCCAGGATAGAAATATCATTTCAAAGCCCTGATATTGTTCTAGGTTATGTTTATAGTTTGAGATTAATCATAAATATCTTATTTGCCTGCGCTGTACATAATTATAATTATATAATTGAGTAGAAGTGGAAATATAGTCAACAGTTTAAGGTTGCTTTAGAAAACGAATTAAAATCGGGATTTTTCTTCTTAAACTTTTCACAAAGGATATTGTAAGCCAGAATTGGCAGAACTATATTAGTTCTAAAATAGTGTTTTTCCTCTTCAGGAAGTAGTTCTAAAAGATGGAAGAATTGAAAGACTAAAGTTGGAACTTGAAAGGAAAGATGCCGAAATCCAGAAACTAAAAAATGTGATCATTCAATGGGAGGTTTGTATTTATTTACTGTAAACTAAAATAATTCTATAAATCTGCACATTTTCTGTTTTTCTTATGTGTAAGTGCTTAATATTTGATTCATAGAAATATTGTTTCTGCTATTTAGGTTTTTAAACTCTTTCATTAATTATATCTAATCTAAATGATAGTATATTTTTTATCATGGTAAAACATATATAACATTAAATTTGCCATTTCAAGTTTTTAAGTGTAAAATTCAGTGGCATTAAGTCCTTTCACAGTGTTGTCTAGCCATCACTACTATTTCCAGAACTTTTTCCTCATCCCAAACAAAAACTCTGTACCCATTAAACTTCCTATTTCCCCTTCCTCTGCAGCCCCTGCTAACCTCTAATCTCTATGAATTTGCCTGTTTGAGGTACTTCATTTAAGTAGAACGATATATTTGTCCTTCTGTGTCTGACGTATTTCACTTAGCATAATGTTTTCAGGGTTCATCCATGTTTTAGCATGTATCAAAATTTCATTCCATTTTATGGCTGAATAATATTCCATTGTATGTTTATACCACATATTGTTTTCTGTTGATGGACACTTGTGTTGTTTTCACCTTTTGGCTATTGTGAGTAATGCTGCTATAAACATTGGGGTACAAGTATCTGAGTCCCTGCTTTCAGTTCCTTTGGTACATACCTTATAAGAGGGGAATTGCTGGATCATATGGTAATTCTATGTTTAACTTTTTGAGTGACCACCAAACTGTTTTCCACAGCAGCTGCACCATTTTACATTTCTACCAGCAATGCATGAGGATTCCAATTTCTCCACATCCTTGCCAGCACTTGTTACTTATACAATTTGTTTTAACCACAAACCTGCCTCTTTCTTCCTTCCTTCAGCTTTTAAAAAAGTCTCTTATTCATCTCAAGTATCATTCTTTTTTGACTAATTTTTGTTTACTCAACAATTATTTATTGAGTGCTTGTAATATGCCAGGTAGTTTTCTTGGCCCTGTGTATGTAATAGTGAAAAAATAAATCAAGTTCCATCCCTGATGGTTCTTACATTTCCCTTCCTATTCTACTCGTGCCTTTAAGAATCATCCCTGCTAAAACCTTTTTGGACTGCACCCACCCATCTCCCATAGCTTTTTCTTTGTCATTTATGTTATCCATTGCTTTTGTTGAGCACTTAGCATGTGCTAGGCACAGGGAATACAAAGATGAGTTAGCGAGAAGCTCATAGTTTAATGGGGAAGATAGACATGTAAATAATTGCAGTACAATGTATAATTTATAGTTTAGATTTGACAGAGTCCTCCAGAAGCACAGAAACAGGAATAAATCAGTTGCTGCTGTTGAAAATTGGTAAGGATTTCACAAAAAACATAGTTTTTCTAAATAGAATAGCATATACAAAGGCATGGGAATGGTAAAAAGTACTTTCTTGCTGACATTTCGAGACATAGGAAGTTGTAGAAGGTGAGATTGGAGATGTTAGTTGGGGTCAGAATTTGAAGACATTTGGATTTTAGCAAAGAAAGGGCAGTAAAGGTTTTTAGAAGGGAAGGGAAGTGGAGTGAAGATAGCCTGGTAACACAATTAACAGGTATTGAGTGTAAGAGGAAGAGCACATTTTGAACTGGTTTGGTGAATGGGAACTAATAGATCCCATTTTGGACATGTTGAGTTTAAATGGCTGTGGATGCATGCATTGATGTTCAGGATGCAGTTGGACACATGGAGTCACAACTATGTGTATTTAACTTAAGTGCTCTCTTTTTCATGAAATTAAAAGTACTAATAAGGGCACTGTATATTTCATTTGTACTCTTTATTATAAATTACATTGTACTAGGATTTTATACATTTAAGTTTTTGTAGATATATTTACTATTCAAGGTTGTATATACAAAGCTATATATGCTGTTTTTATGGGCAATATAAAGAGTTTTCACGGGTAATTTTGCTCGTTTGTAATTTTTGCTTTATGGGCTGACTTTAGCCCCTAAAGGCTAGCATAAGAGGTGCCTCCATGTACATTGATATGGACCTTGGACAAAAGGCTTGAGCTAGGGATAGAGTTTGGTGAGATAGTGACATTGATTGAAGCCCTGAGATTGAGAATTTCATAGTGGATATGGTTTCAGATTCACAGTAGATATATTCATAGTAAATATGGTTGTAGTTCACTGTATATATTTTTCCCATCATATTTTTATGTTTCCATCTGACTTATCTCCCTCATTCATGTCTAAGCTTCTCAAAACTCCTACTCCCTCATGTTTACTATGGTGCTTACTACTTCCGTTTAGTGTATTGTCTGCACTACTACTCAGTAACGTCATTGATTCATCCTCAGGGATAGTATATTTAGTAAAAGCCATCTTCATTGGACTTCACAAGAAAGATTTTTGAATCTGGCAATTTCTGTACATATCTGTGTACATATTGAGAGGAGAAATGACAAGTTTTTTATACTGATCTGTTTTCTCCCTCTGATCTCTTATTTTTCTGTAATTAGTAAATGTATTATTTTCTCTAATGTATTAATGTATTAAATATTTATAAATAATTCAGAGTGCTTTATGTGTTGAATACGGGTAGCATAAGAGGAAAATTCCCCAGAATATGGACGTTAATGTGGGAACACAATTCCTGTTGTTTATAAATGTAGAATTGTGTCATTTATGTAGTTTGAGAAGAAGCTAAGAGACATAGAAAAAGAAATCGAAAAAGAATTGAAGAATATTTCAATAAATTACTAATTCATGTCAGCCAAAAATTAATTTAGCAATATTTGGTTAATGAAGTAACAAGAGATTAGTAAAGCCTTAACTGAGAAAATACAGAACTGTGCTGTACAGTAACCACTACATGTGGTATAAAATTAATATACCACATGGATTTTAAATAAATAAAATTAAGATTTTTAATTTTTATAAATAAAAATAAGATAAAATTAAAAATTTTATTAAATAAAACTAAATAAAATGTACAATTCATTTTCTCAATCACACTAGCCACATTTCCAGTAGTTAGTACCCACATATGGGACAGTGGCAGATATAGAACAAATACAGAAAGTTCTGCTACAGTACTCGATAATCCTGGTATAGAGCTCTGAATCAATTTTCTTTTTGTTTTCATCTCATTATTTTGAATTGTATAAGGGTTTTATTTAAGGAAGAAAAGAGAAAGACTCTTCAGGAAAACTTAATATTATCCTGAATTTTTTCCACTTTTATCCCTCTCTTCTTTATTTTTCAATCACCGATAATATTAATTTCTACTATTGTACCAGGGATTTAATTTAAGCAGTAGACAGTTCCAAATACATTTTCCTCCATCTAATTTCTTACAGAAGTAATTTATGTCTTTGAGCAAGCTTAGAATTCGTAGCTCCATAAATTGAGAGTAAGTCATTAATTATATCATTTACCTTTTAAAAATTAAATCTTTTTTCCTTGATTATTAGGCAAAGTATAAAGAAGTAAAGGCAAGAAATGCACAGTTATTGAAAATGCTTCAGGAAGGTGAAAGTAAGTGATTTGTGTGTTTTTAGAATTAAAAGTTAATCTTTAAAAAATTTGAAGATAATTTTTCAAGATATATGATTTATCAACTCAACAAAATAAAAAAGTTTCCCAAAGTGATACAAACTGGACTGTTCTTGATCATTTTATTATTACATGTCACTCTTACAGCACCTTAGTATTACACAAGTTTGCAATTATTCAGGTAAGAGAAACTCTTGAAATTTCACTTCTTATAAATTATTGGACTACATTTAGAGGGAAAGCAAGAATAACATTCGCTTACGATTCTGCTTTTTAATTATTAGAGGAGAAGGGCTATCATCATTTTAGGTTTTCCTTTTCCCCTCCCCCACTCTTCATGCTTCTGCTGCCACTCTAAACTTTCGGCAATAGGTCACTAGCAGGAAGACAAAGAAATCAATAAAAAATGATTAGAAATAATAAGATTAGTAAAGATGATGTTATATGAAAACCCCCCAAATCAGTTGTAATCCTGAATATGTATACCTAGTGACTCTTACCTTGAAAGTTCTGTGAAAATGTTTCATTCAGTGCACAAAAGGAATGTGTATTAATTTTGCAAAAGAAGATTATAAACCATAAAAGAGACATAGAGAAAGACATGAATAAATGAGAAAATCTTCTAAATAGACAAAATTAAGTGTAATAAACAATTTTCATTGTTAGTAAATGTTAATGAAATACCAAATGTAGCTCATGTGAGTACTGTATAGCACTTAATAAATTAAGAAACTCACCTTGAAGAATAAGTAAACAGGATACAAAAAATTGTTTCAGATATGAAGATATGGGAGTGGAATTGTCCAACCAAAATTTAAACTATATTATTAAATAAGTTATCAAAACAATATGAGTAAAAACCAGAAATCATGTCCAGTTTAAAAGAATGTATGGTTTTGAAGTAGATTCAAACTTTATGACTTTATTCTTTTTAATAATATAACTATAACTTAACTATTATACAGCTTAACTGATGAAATAGAAGTTAAAGAGTAATGGGAAAATACGTTATTTGGACAATTAAATATCAACATCCTGAGATTAATTTAGATCTCTACATGTTACTGAGCTCCATGTGGATAATTTAATGAATAAAATTATGAAAATAAAATAATTGTTTACAAGATATATTTCTAATTGAAGAAGTTAAGGGTATCGTTGGCTATTGGATGTATGATTTTTAAATATGTAAAAAGTAAAAATAAAGTAATATTCCTTACTTAACGAAACATTTGTGAAAAGTGAGAAAGTTAACTAATAAAAGCTTACTCTCAAAAATAGATTAAAAATGGCTACCAGTAAATAACATCAGTGTCCATACTCCATACTATAAATAATCCAAGTAGAAGAATTTTACATAGGACCACTGAAAAGTTGAAAAGTGGTCCTATATAGGACATGAGAAATACAGTACCTTAGAGTACACATCCTCTAGCATTTTAAATATAAATGTAAATACAGTCAGTTCTGTTATAATGCAACATGTAATGTTGCATGTAATGTGTTCCTAAAAATATAATGTGTTCCACATATAATGTGTTCCTAAAAATCACCAATCTCTGCAAAATCACACAGTTAAAACCATAAGGTTTATGGGGAAAATGGAGTTGGGGAGTATACAACACTCAAAAACTTAGTCAGTGGCACATTAAAAAAAGATGGAAACAATAAAAACAGCCACACAGTTTTATACATGTGTAAATGGTTAAACACATAAATGCTATAATAAATATAGCACTTTACCTTGAAGACAACCTAAAATTTCTTGTAGAAGTAGGCTTCACAAGGGTTACAGCTTGTGTGTTACTGTTAAGTGACGGAAGAATGGAAAGTTGGTGTGGTTCTTAACACACAGTGAACTGAGATAGCTTGTAGATATTTGAGGTGTGTGTGCATGGGTGCAGTTTTGTGTTCATGAAATTGTGCTTAAGCAAATGCAAAATTTGTGTTATGTTTAAGTTCTCTAATGTATCAGTTTCGTTGAAACAAATACATATTTTCAAGACAAGCTATAGAAGAACTGACTACAATTGAAATATAATTCTTAAAAATCACTAGTTCTCAGTGAGTGTATTTAATTCTTGGGATGGAGGGTAGAAGGTATAATTTGTAGAAGTTCCCAAGTTGATTCTTGAGACGCTATGATTTGTTTCTTTTCACCTTATTGGATATCATATTAAACTATGAAAAATAAATTTGAATTACAGTGTTATATTGGTAGAGCTGTGGTGATCAGTACTCATATATTTGAACAATTCCTCCTTTACTAATTTTATTACATTTGTACCTCTTCAATATCTCCTAGCTTGTTTCCAAAGTTGAGGATTTAGATTTTCATGAGTTAGCTGTTACTATAGGTTAAGGAAGTTGTCAGCCGTGTAGAGATTTGTAAAGTTTAGGAAACATAGGGGCCAAATATAGATCTCTTGCTTCCCCGAAGAGAGAAAAACCTCCAGACAAATGAATAGTTCTAAGAGACCACAGATGTTATATTATCAGTTATGATCTTATGAGCTACATTTATTTGAATGCTTTATTGGTATGTAAAGTTGGACAAAAATAACTTTTGTGGGCATTATGGTATGTTTGCCCTGACAATTTAACAAAACAAAACAAACAAAAACACTCTACATTTTTTAAAAATCTTGCTTTAAGATTAGTCAGGGTATTTAAAGTTTTTTCCCTGTGTGAAACTTTTAATTTTCTTGTGTCCTTGTCCTAGTGTAGATGGAAAAAACTAATCTTCATTATATTTGTACAATTAATATTTTAACACCACAGATAATGTAAAATTTCAAAAGAAAACTTCTGTAGTGATAATAATGATTAGAATTTACCAGTTAAAAATAAGAGCCATGGGGTCAAGAAATACATTCATTAAGTATGAGGACAATTAATCTTTGTCTGACTAGTCTGCTGTCTTGGTTCACTAAAATACTGTTAAAATATTTGAGTGATTGAAAAGATTATAGTGCTGTTTTTCCCTTTTTGTCAGTGAAAGATAAAGCGGAAATACTTCTACAAGTTGATGAATCGCAAAGTATCAAGAATGAGCTAACTATACAGGTAAGGAAAACCGTATGGGACTGGTTTTCTTAAGCTGTTCTTTAGTCCTGAATTATGAAATTTGACTAAACAAAAATACAGCCCATCAACACACTGCAAGAAAGTGATATAAATTATGCTTCATTATTATTGTGTAATAGAAAATTAATGAAGATTCTATTTACCATGCTAAGGGAGGTAGGTATGTCATGAAGAATAGGGGAAGACGGGGTTGTGTTTTAGTTGATGTAGACTATGAACACAGAGATAGAAAGGGCAGCTAGAACTTACCCTGTTCATGGAATTGATTTCTCCCCTCCGCACACTTATTATGTGGTCTTCTCTAAGAACAGTGAGCTTGTCCTATCTATCTTTAATTTATAGCTGAGTAAAATGACTAATTGAAATCGGGGAGGGGTTCTTCTCTGATGCTCATTCATCTAGTAGTCAGAAATCATCATTGTGAATAAGTCTCAAGAATGAAGAGTATGTGCCTGAAAAGAAAAAAGGAAGTCTTTTTTTATTAAATATTTTGTTATAGGTGACTTCACTTCATGCTGCATTAGAACAAGAAAGATCTAGAGTGAAAGTATTACAAGCAGAATTAGCCAGATATCAGGTATGATTTTATAATTTTGAAGGTGTTTTCATTACGAGTAATACATTTGGGATAGATACTATGTGAGCATAAATGCATTATTTTATTCTTAGGCCAAAATTTATTCACCAAACATTAATAATTTTGTTATTATTGGTCATATAATTTACATTTTAGAAAATGTTCAGGTTATTCTAGATATTGGTATATACAGCAGTAACTTAAGTAATTCAGAAAAATCCTTGGTGTACTATGTAGATGACATGACATACATGCCATTGAATCATATTGAGGGAAGGCACACAGTGACATTTACCCCATTATATAATAAGTTTAGTCACTCAGGTACAGCAGTTATCTTCTAGGTATCTTCATTGTAAAGATATCTTTTCCCCTTTGTAATTAATAAATAATATGTGGAGTGATACTTTGAGATTATGTGATTATCCTTTTCTTTTTACCCAATGGTTTCAGCGTCCATTGATGATATTTGTCAGTTATTATTTTGGTGGTTGCAATATAGTGATTTTTCTGATTCTGTCATTTCTTCTGCGTGTACAAGCTAGAATTCAGCATTTTTTTCTGGGTGAAGCAGTAAAAAGATATCAGTGCTTTGTTTCAGTATATGATATGTATATGTGTGTATATGAACACACACACATATATATATTTTTGTATATACATATGTATGTGTGTCTAAGTCATGATATAAAATGCATTAATTAATGTGGGATCAGAGTTAAAAAAGTTTGAAAGCCATTGGTGGCCTAGAGAATATAAAAGTTGTTTAGCTCCTACTTTGACATCTCATCAGTCCAGGAAGGAGAATTCCATTTGCCTGGAAGGCTTTGAAAAGGATCCTTGAATTTTTTTTTTTAATCTTGTTGAGAAGCAAGGTAAGAGTTTTAACCTGTATAACATTGGTACCTATGTATAGTGGTTATCTAACTTAGAAAATTTTTTGGTAAATTTATTTTAATTTTCTTGCTATCAGGAAATAAATCTTGTTTTTAATACATGTGATTACATATCTCAGGCCCCATGTAACATCTTAATACTTTTTTTCTCTGAACGAATCTTTGTGAAACTTTTGTCTGTTCAGGAGTGAATAATGGCATTCTTAGACTTGACTTTTTTTTTAAAGAAAGTTGATATAGAAATGTTTTTGACCACCAAGAGGGAAATTACAGGCATAAAAAGGATGAAAGAAACAAAGAGAAGCTGCTAACATAATTTAATGAGTCTGGGTTCCATGTGTCCCTGATAGAACCACCACTTTAAGAAATGCACTTCCCCAGACAAGTAGTTCCCAGGCTTGACTGATCATCAGAATTACTTGGGAACTTTTTGAATTGCAGATTGTTTGGCCCACTCCTGGTAATTGTAAATAAATAGGTCTTGTTCAAAGCCTGGACATCAGAATTTAAAAAATATTACTACTTAGGTGATTCTAATGATGAACTAAGTTTGGGTACCATTGCTATAGTTTATAAAGATGAAGAAAAAACTATAAAATTATTGTAAGATAAATACATCAAACCATTATTTATAAGTTTAAATGAGGGATAGAGTAGTTATGGATGATTTTAATTTTCTTCTTTGTACTTGTACTTTCCATATTCCTATAATGAATATTTGCTTTTTAAATCAGAATAAGGAAAAAAATGTTATGTTAAAAATAACTAATGTAAAATATTTCTTGTCTTTTAAACTGCCTTTCTCTTTCCTTGGCTCAAGTCAAATACCATACATGGAGTTTCATTTGGAGCAAATTAAATACAGACGTGTATATGTCACTGAGCAATATAAAAAGTATAACCTACTTTTCAACCCGGTGATGAACAAAATCAGCTTTCTAATGCTGTCTAATATGAACAAGACTAGATAGAACTTGAATTAGAAATTGAATTACCCAAAAGAGTAATGAATTACCAAATTTTCTCATCATACAGAGCAAATTGTTTATTTTAGTATTGATCAAAAATTTTATTTTTAAATAAGTCTGGGACAGTCCAAATGAGCTCTAAAAAATAAGATATTGGGTAATCTTATTAAGTCAAGACTAATTCAAGTAGAAGTAACTGTTTTCTACAACCTATTTTAATCATTTGTAAAAATAATTTAGTGGTACTCGCATCCAAATTTGCAACAAACTCAGAAAAGAAATTTCTTCCATCTTCTACCCATAATGCCTTTGGTCTCATATAGTCTTAAAATGAAAATGCCCCCAAATGGTATTTCCTAAATAATTTGCCCTATTTTTCTTTACAGGGTGGCAGAAAAGGGAAAAGAAACTCTGAATCCGACCAGTATAGGTGATTCCATTAGCCTTTGGGTCAACACAAAAGTTAAAACTTTCAGGGTTTTGCAAAAATGTATATATTTAATGCTGTGCAACTGCTAAACTATGCAGTTTTTGTTGAAGAAACCTAAAACAATTAGCTCACTAACAGTCTATAGTTTTATGTCCTTTTGGCTTAAAGTGGAAAGAAGAAAACTAGAACTCCAACAGAACTCAATGATTATTGTTTACTATCCATATTTCTTATCACTTTAGTTTTTCATCAGTCAATAAAACTAATTTACTCTTCCATTAATATGTTTGAGTTTTTAAGTTTCAGAAACAATGTGAAAGTATTATTTTTGCTTATAGCACGGTCAGTTTAATTGGATCATCTAAGTTCAGTGAATATTTACTCAGCACTTTCTGCATGCTAAACCCTATGGGACGTACAAGATGAGTGAAAAATAGTAGCTCAAGTAGCTTCTGCTCAGGGGAAATAGAAGGTGGGGGTGGGTAAAGACAACAGCAAAAAATTACCATACAGATTAGACTGTGATATCACATTGTTTAGAAATTGAGAAAATTTGCATGAGATAGTTTTTGGAGGGTAGATACCTTTTCTATAAATTTATTGAGAGGCATTCCAGGCATAAAGAACAAAATCTGGGCTGAGGTATTTGTTTAAAGAACACTCTGGCTTGACAGAAACGTGACACATTGAGCACAGAGAATGTTGATGTGGGGGAGAAATGAATGAGAGACTTTTCACTGCTATAATCAATTACTAGAATAATTAGTAGTTTATAGGGTTAATTTTTTTTTAGTGTACTCAGTGAAATACAAATATGATTCATTAAATTACAGAGGGTTTTTGGTTTTATAACAAAGATGAGCACATAAATACTGGTCTTGGCCTCCAAAACCAGCATTATATGAAAGATTCTACTTCATGACACTCTTTGAAAAAAAATACTTAATGTCATCATTGCTTGTGTGTCTGGCTTCTTCCATGAAGTTACATAATCCTTGCAAAGAATTGTGACTTATTATTCCCTATATTCCCAGCACTTTGTCCTCTATGTGGCATAGAGTAGATTCTGAAGAATTATTTGTTTGATTAATTAATAAAGTGATAATACTTTTTACCTAGTTTTTCTCTAATTTTACCCTTGATTAAGAATAGATACCATCGGAACCTAATTAATTCATTAAATATATATGGTAATATTCCACGATACCATATTTTTCAACCCCATGATGAACAAAATCAAATTTCAAATGCTGTTTCAATTACAGTTGAATTACCCAAGTAGTTAATGAACTGATTTACCAAAGCATGCTATATTATTATCTGCTTTTGACTGTCTACCTGCACATTATCCATTTGGTACATTATCTAGTATCTAGCACAGTGCCTGGCACATGGTAGACACTCAAAAGATAGGCCATTTTCTACTAGTGTATTGGTTTAAAATCACCTGGGCTCATAGAAAACCTTATTAATCATCTTCTCTTGTGTTGGGTATTCTCTAGATTACTGTATTCATAGCTCTGAATTCTTTTTCTTAGATTGATGTATCCCCTTCTATTGATTAATCTGTTACTTCTAGGCCAATATATCAGTTTCAACTGGGAAAGCTTTATCATGTAAGAGATAGAAAAGACAATTCAGTCGTCAATTGGAGATTTCTTCCATTCCATTAAGTTGATTTCTCAGGCATTCTCTTTTAATAAATATCATTACTTAGATTATTTTCCATTTCCTGGATGCTCAGTGAAATTATTGACAGCTTATTATGTGCCAGATGTTGTGCTAAGTACTAAAGATGCAAATATGTCCACAACTAATTGGAAGAAAACAGGATGTAAAGAAATCACAAAATATTCCAATAAATAATAATACTGATACATTTAAATTACTATTGGAGTACAGAATAAAATGAGTTTTATTATTTTACAGGGCTATGTTACACAATTTAATTATTTCAAACTCCATTAATAAAGTTTTACTTAAAAAGTAATTATGGAAATATAGCCAGTCAATTAAATTCAGCAGATATTTTTGACATTTTTTATAGTGTGTTAGTAAAGCTGGAAGAACTAGAGCTATGTTCAAGGCCCAGTTCTTTTATTTACTATTTGTATAACCTTGGCTGATAATGATAAGTATTCAATAAGTGACGGAACAGAGTGAAATTGGGTATCAAATGAGAACAGCTAGTGAAAGTATTGGGTAAAAACTGTGTGAGGTGGGGGGCTGGCCCAGTGGTGCAGCGGTTAAGTTTGCATGTTCTGCTTTGGTGGCCCATGGTTCGCCAGTTCGGATCCTAGGATTCCAGGTGCGGACGTGACACTGCTTGGCAAGCCACACTGTGGTAGGCGTCCAACATATAAAGTAGCAGAAGATGGGCACGGATGTTAACTCAGGGCCAGTCTTCCTCAGCAAAAAGAGGAAGATTGGTGGCAGATGTTAGCTCAGGGCTAATCTTCCTCAAAAAAAAAAAATTAAAAAACAAACTGTGTGAGGTGGAATCTCTACCTTCAAATTATTTTCAGTCTAATAGGAATAAAAGCATAGCACATAAGTAACTAAAATTCAAGCTAGAATACAGTGGATTCTGTAACAATTTTATGCAAGTAAGAAGAGAATGTATTTTTTCAGGAAAGTCAGATGTCATCTATAGAAAAAATAACATTTTTAAATTGGTTCCTAAAGGATAGGCAGCTTTTCCACAAAGTTTTAAAGGGCAGAGGTCATTCAAGGAAAAAGGAAAATAAAAAAGAGGGAAGAAGGAAAAGCAGTGGATATGTTCAGGGAACAGGGTGCCTTCATTTTGCCTGGAGCATAGGACAGTAATGAGACAGCTAGAAAGGTAGTTTGGGGATAGCTATCATCCGTCTTAAATTTCAGATTAAGAAGTCTGCATAATTTGGTAGGCATGGGGAAACCATTAAAAGTTTGTGGATAAAGGAGTGATGTAATTAAACTTGCTCTTTAAGGAGGTTGAAATGACAGTGATGTAATAGGAAATTATCAAAGAAATTAATTTGGAAGAGAATGTCAAGGAAGCTTGTATACTAGTAGAAATAGGAGGTAAAGAGGATCTGAACTAGGGAGGTGGCTGTGGTATTCAGAAAATGGAATGAAAAAATGTTCTCGGGATGGAATCTAACAAATTTGTGTAGAGTGAGGAAAAGAACAAGGGCATCAGAGATTAAAAACAAGATCTCAAGCCTAAATGAGAGGGAGAGCGACAGTGCCGTTAGAAGGGTAGAGTGATGGAGGAATTAATGTGGAGGAGGTGGACAGAATTGACTTTTGCCTTGTTAAATTGGATTTGCCTACAGAGCATGTAAAAGTAGAGAGTCCGTCAAGTTAGAAATAAAAATCTCGTCCTTTGAAGAAAGGCTAGAGTTACAGATTTGGGATACATCTACAATTAAGTTGTACAAATAGTTGACATACCCAAAGGAGAAAGGGTTTGAAGAGAAGTATTATTGAGGATAGACTGTGGGAATGGTAGGAGACAGAGTGGTCAGAAAGGTAGGAGGTGTGGTTATGAATGTTTTAGAATGGTCTCAGGTTATGAGCTCAAGGAAAAACTATTGGATTTAGCAGCTAAAGGACGCATTGACGACCTTCAAAGTAGCTTTTTAAATGGCACAGAGCAAGGCGTTGAAGAAAAAGTTAAATTCTTTAACACTTTTGGCAGTTAAAGAAAGAGGTCCCAAGGTCCCTTGAAGGGGCTACAGGATTGAGTGAGGGTTGGTTGGTTTTTATTTAGGATCTAGGAGACCTTTACAGTGTTCGTAAGCAGAAAGGAGCCAGTTAAGAAAACAAAAATATGGCGGGGTGGGGGTAATGAGGGAATTGACTTTAGAGCTCACCAATTAGGTATTTTCTTGCCATTATATAATTTGGTTGCCTTATCAACCCTCTCTAATACGCAGTTTAATTCTAAATTAAGCTGCTCTCTGTTTAATGGAATTATAACAATTTCCATGTAATAATTTCAGAATGTCTATGCAGAACTTAAGGGTTTAAAAAAAGAAATATAAAATGATTTCATGACTGAAACATTAGTAGACTTCCATGATTTAGCTATTTTACACTATGGAAAGGAAAACTTCCTGAACAACAGCCAAAATGGTGGGTGAAAGAGTCTAAGATTCTCCAAAGTCTGTAAATCACTAAGGAATTGTCCTGGGGTAAATTTTTAATTGAATTAAAAATGTTATTCACTTAAAGTTTATGCCCACTGCTAATGTGGTTGTTAGGAAGAGATATACCCATATCCACTATGTACTAGTTAGCAGCCTTGTACTTTGGTTTCTGCCTTTTGGAAAAGCACTATGGTACTATGTTTCAAGAGCCAGAAAAATGTTTATACCCACTAATTTATCCTAAGAAGATAATTTGAAAGAAGAATAAACTTAAAAGATCTATACAAGTATAACAATAAGTATAATACAGAACTATGGAATAACCCAAGTGTTCAACTTTAATGTCTAACTCAAATATCCAACTTGAATGACTAATTAATATAACACATCAGCAGGGATTATGATTATGCAGCCTTTAAAAAGTTATAATTAGGACAACTATGTAAAACATGGAATGTGTTGAACAAAGTTTAAATATAAAAACAAAATACAAACCTGTAAAGTGATTTATAGCTATATGAAAATATATGTGCATATGGACAGACTGGAAAGTAGTAATTCCAAAGTAAAACTGTTTGTGTTGGGATGGGGAGATTATGGGAAAATATGAGTTAATTGGTTCCCCTCCCCCAAGTTTTATCTTATGTACTGTTTTTTGTAATAAAAGAAGGGAAAAATACTACTATTTTGATTTGTGTTAAGTAATTTGTTGTTATGGGAGTAGGTTGTATTACTCATTTTATTGACATGTTCAATTGAATTGTGGTAATTGTTATGGGACACCTCCTGGACATGGAAGTTTCTTTTTTCTTTTTAAATCAAGAACCCTCACTATAGTAGAACTAAACCAGGGAAGGTAGCATTGTGAATCAAAATGACTGTGTGGCTTCAAGAACACTTGTAAAGTTTCAGTCAACCAGCTTGACATTTCCCTTTTTTTACTTCCCATTTTAAAAATTTTAGAACTTTAGAAGTTTTACTACCCTTAACTATGTCATATTGTTCTGGTGACATATATTCGAAATTAACTTTTTTGAGATTCATATTACAAACTAAGATGTGAATTATTTTATAAATTTTATCATTAAATACAATATGCTCCCTGTTGTGAATTTGTTAAGGAAGAGAGAATTTTCTTCTCAGTACCTC